TACCGCCCCCCACGACCCCTACAAGATGGCGGCCCCGCCACACCGATCCCCCTGCCGTGCCGCTGGCTCCCGGCCGCACCGCGCGGCCACTGGGCGGCGCTGGTGGTGCCGCTGCGAGGGGAGCGGGCGGCGGGGCCCCGGGAGGCCGGGCTGTGGAGCTGGGCTGGGGCACGGTCGCGGCGGCCCTGCGGCGGTGGCGGGCGGGGTGAGTGAGCAGCGCCGAGCAGCGGCGGCTGGGCCCGAGGCGGGCGCAGGAGGCATCGAGGGCCGGGCTGTGGAGCTCGGTGCCGGCCGCCGTCCTGCCGCTGCGGCTGGCCTGGGAACGGCTGCCGTCCGGTGATGGGTAGCGTGAGGCAGCGAGCAGCAACGCGGGGGAAAACGCCTGGAAACTCCCAATACTCTTCCCTGCGGGCCGCGAAGGAAGGGCTCAGAGGCCGCCTGGGTGGAAGCGCAGCCATCGCTTGCGTTCGCCAGGCAAAACGTCACCTCGGTAATAACTACTTCAAAAAAAAACTTGTGAAAGATAAAAACAGAGCACAGTTACCTGAGTGCGGGGAACAGCCATTTCAGCCGAGCACGGCAGGAGAAATTAGCTTAAAATTTCATTTATTTACTCCCAGTTTTGCCCTAAATTGCTGGCAGCAAAGGTCAGGAACAGTTTTTAGTCCCAGGTTTCGCAAAAGATTCTGGATGGCCAGTGTCTGTGCCGGGGATGAGTTTTGACAAGCCATCAGAAAGATCCTTCCCAGGTAATGAATGCCCCGAAGATCTCTCTGCACAGACACCTTTTGAAATGTGGCTTGTTTCATCTAGGGGTCTACATAAAAAGAGCAAAACCTCAGTGGTTAAAGTGATCACTCCATTTCACAGCTCATAGCCTTTAAAATGTCACCAAATGGTCCAAAAAGAATTAATTTTTAAAGCATGACAGTTCACAAGAACCATTTTTAGGCTGAATATATATGTTCCCATTGATGTATTTTTTGGTACACAGCAATTTAAATAGGTTTGGGGAACCTGATGCAAATTCACTCAAAAGATTTTATTAGTAGATCATTTCCCATGAAGCAGATTCTGTTGATGAGCAGCATGGCTACCACTGGGCCTGTTACACCAACACCTGTTTACCTTGAGTGATGAGAACAACTCTAGAAAGAGGACAGGCTATTAACTTCATCAGGTTCCTCCTGCAATGCCAGGCAGAATTAGAATTAGCAAATTACAAGTGAAAGGCTCTGTAAAATAAAGAGAGAATCTAAAGGGACCACTAAGATTTGCTATGATACTCTATTTTAGTCAATGCTAATAAAATCAAATTAGTAACTTTAGTGTACATTAATGAATGAAAGCCCAAATGGCTTTAATGGATTTAGTAAAATCCATTATGTTGTCCAGGAAGAGAATCCCCTTTGCTTAAGAGCAAGTGTTAATAATTAATTTTTAATTAAGCTGTCAGATTTAGATATCACAGTTTTCCTGTTGTTTGTATTATTTTAGGTATTCCACAGAAATGGGTTTTCATTTATACAAAAATTTTCTATTAGATGTCATGCAACCAACACCAAGAGATTCCTGACTGTTGAAGACACTGTATTCATGAGATGGAGACCTCTAGCAAAGTGAACGACGCATTGGAAATATTCATTACAATAATTCACAATTACACTAGGCACAACTAACTCTCCCACTGCGTATTTTAGTAATAGGTATTCACATGAATCATTCCTGTGGTGTACCCAGACTACATTTCTTCCAGTTTTCTGAGTACACCCTGATACTCAGGAGGTTATGCACGCCTATGAAATTCACCATCAGCTCATCCCTCTGTTTGTAAGCAATTACCCCAACTCCCTCTGCCATAATTCCTTGAGGGTGATACCAACTAGAGTGAAACAGGGGAAGACAAACAGTATATTCATGATATATTAAGTGCTGCAGCTTAAAGAGTCAAACTGGATTCAAATCCTGCTATACAAAGAACCGTGCAAGTATGGCATGTTTTAGCCACTTGATACCAAAAAGCCCAAAACAAAGCAAAAGAGATACAAGCCATACATGAGATGAGATGTGAAATGGTAAGGAAATAATACATGAAAGCCAGTGTTACAGCTTTTTATCAATTTATTAATGTCAAGAAATCACAGCTGAAGGATAAAGATGGATAATTATTTAAAGATGGTAATGTGCTGAGTTCTTGTCTCCCTGTCAGCGTGGGATGTCACACATGCAGTAGGTGCTGCCTACGCTCTGTATTGTGATGGTAAAGTACAGCTGCGCTGCGCTAGGGCGCTCGCTGCCAGTGATGGGTGTCCTCGGTTAATTCATGGCAAGCCACTGAGCACTCACTGAAGTATCTCTCACATTAATTTCCCCTGACAGACAACTAATGTTTCAAGCTATTCCTAGCAGAATTGAGCACCAGGACAGTGATCTCTGCAGGCAGACCTAAACACCAGAGCAAGAACTAGCCCTGCTGTACTTATATTATGCTGCTGCTATTTAGCAGAATATCTTTGCTTCTAAAAAAAAGGAAAACAAGATGCCAGCATTTCATTTTTTAGCAAGAGAAAATATACACCAGTAGTGTTACCAAGTGTTTCTGGTAGAGCTGGAGAGATTTTGCTGGGTAGTTATCACTCCCTTGCTCTGTATTCCTCTTGTCCATGTATTATTCTATACTTTTGCAGCATTTGAACATGGAAAAACCTCACTGCTGTGGCCAGGTCTGTTTTCAGCTGCCATTTGCCCACTCTATTTGTATTTCCCCCATCTCCACTTTCCCATGTGAAGTGCCCAGAGGCTCCTCGTACACGACATGACACAAAATGCCACTGAATTTCTTTTTTTTCTTCTCTCTCAAACTTGCTCTTTCAGAAGGCACAATGGGTAAAATGCTTCTATACTCAAATGACATTACAATAAAGTGGCTTCAAAGTCATTACAGAGAAGGTTTACTTCATCCAACACATCCCCTACTCATCACTCAGCTTACTTTAGGACAACATAAACTGCATTTAGCATTTCACCCTTATCTTCGTTCTCTGTCAAGTAAATTGTAACCATTATTACACTACTGTGTCTCAGCTTCAAGATCAAATTAGCAACATAACTCCCCCTCTCAAAAAGAAAAGGAACAAAAGCCCAGGAATCAATGAGCAATCTCATACTACACTACTAGTAGGCAATTAGCAAAGAAGCAGGAGGATGAACATGGTAATACTTTCACTAGGTAAACAGAGTTCATCTGTAAAATAGGTTTATTGCTAAACATAGTGCAAAGTAGCAATAGAAATTCTACATGCCATTTGCGCTTTCATTCATTAAGTGCATTGAACTCTGAAAACATGATTCTGACTAATGAGCTGTGTTAAGTGGCTCTTGAATACTTATTTTGTCCCTATTCTAGTGAAAGACCTGGACTCACAGAAGCTGATGAAAGAAAGAAAATCTTCAGTGCTTCTGCACTCAGGTATCAGCTTTTCAACCCAACCTCTAGGACAATTCTCCATTTATTTATTTACTTAAAGATTACAAGCACAACTAAATCCTATTTAACAGCTTGCCTGAAACAGATTTTGTCATCCAAATGGAAGAAGGATTGAGGATATAGAGTTCCCAGCTAGGGAACTTCACTATCAAATACACTTCAAAAGTATTTTGAAGACTACCAATACAAAGACTGCTCCACTTCCAGCCACTAAAGTATTTAATTCAAATAATGCATTATTTACTTGTTCTAAGAAAGCAGCACATGAAAAGATGCAAAAACAACTGCTTCAGTTTTTCTTAAAGAGCTTTCACTAATATTTGTGGTTAAGTTTTACCAATTTAACTGCTTTCATCCGGGTATTGAAAAAATAAGTAAAATTATTCTAATTAATCTCTCAAAATAGGTCACAAAATACATCTTTCTTCCAAAAAGAGCTGTAAGTACTAATTTCAAGACAGTGTCAACAATGCTTCTTGCAACAAACCATAGAATTCATTGTACAATAGGCACCTTTTTTTTCCAAGAGGTTTCAAGGCACTTGGTATATTTGGCTCCATAAAATTTGTTGGTTTTTTTTTTTCTTTTAAACACTCTTTTGCTGCTAGGTGGAACAGAAAAGTAATTTAAAAATAAGGTGAACCCAGCAGACACCCAGAGAAGTGGCTCCATTGCTGCACAACCCAGCATATGTTTTAATACCAAATCTTCAGAATTCAGAGACTTGTTGAGGACTTTCTGTAGTTTGATGGGAAATAAACAGCTCTTGTAAGCTAATGAGGCACCTTGGTTAACACAGTACTTGTTGACTTGTCCAGCTAAAAGGCAAGATACACTTCCTTTCACTTCAGTGTGAGTTTTCCTTCAATGGCAAAGGAATTCACCTTTGTACCACAGTATGTGGAAGAACTATTCAGTTTATATTTTTGGCAGCACTCCTCTTCAAAAATCACTCAGCACACATTGATTGTACTTAACAAAAATCAAGGCAAAGCTTTGTAAATCCCTGGAAATGTTCCATTTTTAATTTCTAAAGTTGCTGGCTTTGGGTATGATGAATAAATTGTCTTACAACAGCATACAATGTACATATGGTTGGCAGGAAGGATTTTTAGTCTTCTCAGTGGAAGACAGTAGTTTCATCATTTGAACTCAAATAAAAATACTAAAACTCCAATTATTACTTGATAGGCAATTTGCAATTTCAAGCCACATCTGTTTAAAATGTCTTTTTACTAATTCATTTAAGAAGTGTTATCACAACACTAAAAAGAATGATGAAAAAAGTAATCCAGTGTTTTGCAAGGGAAAAAAAAAAAAACAAACCAAAAAATAAGATATGGAAAAGAAACTGCTAAACACAAAGAAATAAATGCAACTCAGCACAATGTAGGGAATATAGCAGCACTGAATACATAAATACTCCACACACACCAATTGCTCCTTACTTAACGATTGTAACAAAACTGTGCCACAACAAAGACTTGCCACATTTTCCTCTCGAGATCAAAAATTAGGCTGCAAGAAATCTTTTGTTATATTTATTTTTTCCACATTGTTTGCCTTGCTGGGAATGACTACGTATCAGGTGTGCTTATTTTTTCACAAACTGCAGGCTGAGCATTGGTGATGGGAAGGAAGTATTCTGTCAACTTCCAACTGAGCATCCCTGTTGAGGTGCAGCTGTCCAGCTACAGAACCACTCACTTCTCCAGGTTTTTCCGAGCATTAATTATACTCCGTCGCTTCGCCTGGTTCCTGGCCCTGTTCTCTTCATACTGGAAGACAGACAAGGAAATTAATAGATCAGCTGTTATCATTAAGCAGACAAGTCCAATTTAAAAGTGTAGAGAGTTTATTACTCAAGAACAGAAACAATATCTTTGACTGATGGACTAGAAATGCAGTTCTTACTGATATCTATATATCGGTTCATTTTCATTTTGAAATCAACGTTTATTTGATTAAAAAACATGTCTCTAAGATTATTAAACTAAAGAGTATTAGAACGCTCCAATAAAGAAGATTCACTTAATCTTATGGAGGAACTTAGACAGCCATTTTATGTATGACAGCTACATTTCACACATGAACTAGGAAAAAAAGTTATATTGCTGCTATTCCAGAACACTGGTCAGCCTCTTTCGCTTTTAAAAGGTACGGATTAGCTCGTCTGCCTTCTGAAACATGAATCTGTCTTCACAGACTTGGTTTGTTTTTGATCCTGGTCATTAGTTATATGCACAGATAAAGTATTATACCAAGATGAAAAGAAGAAAGACATATTTGGGTTGAATGAGGGTAGGACATTTCAGGGGCTCATTTTACGGTTTGAAAAAGAAACACAACAGAGACAGGACTCCAGTGTAAAATGGAATCAGAGCCTTTGCAGTTTAGATACATATTTAAGACAACCATTATTTCAAGTATGCCCCTGCACTAACAAAAGCCTGAAGACTGAAAGCCCAACTTTCTTTCACTACATCCAAAAAGGAGACTTTTCCATGGCTAAAAGAAATGAAGAATTAAAAATCAATACATGATCTGATAGATACATTTCATGAGAAGCAAGTAATTCTTGACCTTAAGTACGCATTTGTTCAACTTTTTAATAACTGGTATCAAGAATAAAGCCCAAGTAACCCACAAATACACTCAGTACACTCTATATAATGTAATAAACTACTAAGGAGATTAACTCTGGAAATGATTTGCAATTTTTCACCCATTATATTGATTGGTTTTTAACTGAAATAATGGCTTGAAACATTACTTAACATTAAAACAATGGTTAACTTTTTCCCATGCCAATACTTAATTTTTTAATAACCCATCCATGTTTTTTACATAGAATGAGAACAATGCATATTTAAAAGCTACAGCTGTACCTATTCTAAACTTATAAACAGCCTTTCAGGCACTTCCTACTAATTGCAAATCAATTTATATTTTAAGAAGATAGACAAATATAGGCGACATCAAGAACTCCTTTTAATGTGAAGACTTCAATGGAACAATGAAAAATAAGATTACATGGAAAGAAACTTATTTTCCAGATCTGTACTACAGGGGAAATAAAAAGGTAATTTCATCTGCTTGTGCCAAATAAGTCCTGTAGACTGACAGAGGGAAAAGAGGGGCCCAAACTGTTCTGGCTGTCATGTACTTGAAGTTTCCCTTTTTAGATACAATTGTGAAATTTATGTCAAAATCAGTTGAAGTTACAATTTGAAGTTAAAAGGTGTGTGAAAAGTTAATTTATGTGTTTTGTCACGTAGGCAGGACAACCATGAATACAAAAACCAGTTGATAATCTTCTGAAAATGTGCCCATTAGCCAGTGAATCTGCTTAAACTCATAAAGTCTTCCATTCCTTTGTATCTGTAGACGTAGTACAGCAATAAGTAGGTATTAAGCAGCAATATTTTCATTTAGAGCCCAACTCAGCAACTCATCAGGTAGTTTCAGTCAGTATAACTGACTTCAGTAACAAGTGTTATTTATGCAGAAGGGACCACTATTGCTTTATATTCTGTTCTGTGCAAATACTACTACTAAAAAAATAAAATTCAGAAGCAGCCTGTAAAGTGCCAGTTAAAATGCGTGTTTGCCTATTTTTGCATATGCAAAACCAGACCATGCCATTTGTTAAAGCCAGATTTTACCTGACAAATTTATCAGAGACAGTTTAAATTTAGTCTCTGATGCCCACTCCAGTATGCGCTTACATTTATTGATTGTACTACTTAGTAAAAATCAACTCTACGTCTACACCATGGATTTTGGTTTTTTATTAAGCATTTAACTGGTAGATGTGTTTCTTACCTCTTTCTTTAAGCACTTCCGCATCTCACGGTCGATATCATTGCAGTGGCCAAAAAATTTCAAAATGTTGTGCTGGTAAGTTAGGGAGAGAAAAAAAAGACCCAAACATTTACAATTCAATGTAAATGAAGAGATGAAATGTAAATGAAGAGTTTAGAGCTCTGAAGCTCTAAATTTCTTAGAAATCACATTTTCTCCTTTTGTAAAAAGTGATGCTTTGTCACTTCAGTAACTAGAAGTTGGAGGTACTCCTGAACCTCATGTGAGTCACCCCCACACTGCTGAAAGTTGAAGGTACCATGCTGTACAATCAGACTAAAACAGGATACCTAAGCTGAAGCTAGGAAGCCTAAATGTTGAACATACATTTTATTGATCTAGGAATCAGTCTTAGAACTTTTGCTCACACTAACTTGAGTAATATAAAAAAGAAATATTCTGAACTCCAGTCTGTGATACAGAAACATCTGTATCTACAGGCATCCTGGAGGCAGTGTCCTCTGTGCTTTAGTTTTCATTATTTCTTCATGACCTAAAGAAGCAAGGGACTTGATGCTCCATCATCCCAACCACACAGAGAATGTAGTGTTGGTCCAGAAGATGCAGGTACTAGGCTTAAATGACTGAAATGTTAAAACTAGTATTAAAAATGGGGGATTAAATTTCTCCAAATCTTAAGGTTAATAAATAAGATGCATTGACCATCTTTCTGACACAGTTCAACTGTAGGCCTTATGCATACTTAAGTGTTACTTAGTTTCTGAAAAACTGCAGGCATATCCTCATGAAGATATTCCACCCTAACTTGATATCCACCATAAAAATCTGTCCTCTTCGCCAGGATTTCCTGGAGCAATTTTGTATTACCAGCCATCAAATCACCCTCAGAATGCAGTCTTCCAAAAGGAATACTTTCTCAGAGTGATGCTTGCTACCATGCCACAGTGTGTCATAGCAGAATCTGGTAGCAGAGCCATTCATCCAAGCAATTCAGAAGACCTGACGGAGTGGAGGTTTTAGTAGGTATTTGCAGCTACACAATCAATAGAGAATCAGCCAATCTTTTAGAGAGCTAATGAATCTGGGGGAGTGGGAGGAAAGGCCATGAAGAACAAAACAGATGAGAATGAAGTTGCTTCGGTATTTAGGAGGGAAACATATGCACATCTAGATGGATTTACACAAGCAATACAGGAACACTCTTAAGAATTCAAACAGTGGACAAGATTTCATCAAATAGAACACGATTGAAAGTAGGATCTGGTTAGTAAAGATTATGACAAACACTTAACTGTAGCAGTGCTATAATTAGCTTGTTTATACCTCTCTGCTGTATAAATGGCATCAGATGACACTCTGAAGCAGTTGCGTGTGATAAATGGTTGCTTTACTGCAAGCTGATCTTGCTTTTACAGCATTTTCATTTTATCTAATATAGATTTCATTTTGTATTCTGTTGCCCTACCTGCACATTACATTTTAAGGTGAATGTCTGTATTTCAAATTAACTCCTCTCTTATTAGTGCATACAGTGAGTGGAATATATGTTCTGGAATATATGTTTTGGAATCTGTGTTTTGGAGTTTGAGATCCTCAGGACTGTGAGAAGGGCATGCAGCAAGTTCACTGCCCTGGACTTCGAGAGAGCAGAGAACCTGCTGGATAAAGTTCCATGAGATAAAGCCCTAGAGGCAAGGGGGCCTAAGACTGTTGGTTGATGTTCAAGGATCACCTGCTCCAACCTCAGGACTGTTGCATCCTGAGTAGAAGGGAATGCAGCAGGAGGGCCAGGAGGCCTCCATGGATAGATAAGGAACTGCTAAGAAAACTCAGAAGGAAAAAAGCTTATAGAAGGTGGAAGGGAGGACAGGCAGCCTGGGAAGAATATAGGGACATTGTCTGAGAAGCTAGGGACCAGGTCAGAAAAGCTCAGTTAGAATTGAGTCTGGCCAGGGATGTCACAGATAACAGGAAAGGCTTCTATAGGTATGTAGCAAACAAAAGACAGACTAGGAATAACGTGGGTTCTCTCCACAAGGAAAACGGAGAACTGCCTATCCTAGATTTGGAGAAGCCTGAGGTTCTCAATGACTTCTTTGCCTCAGTCTTCACTGGCAAATGCTCTGACCACACCACCCAAGTCCTGGAAGGCAGATGCAGACACTACGAGAATGAAGACCATAGATCCACTGTAGGAGAGAATCAGGTTCGAGACCATCTTAGGAACCTGAACGTACACAAGTCCATGGGACCTGATGAAATCCATCCGTGGGTCCTGAAGGAGCTGGCGAATGAAGTTGCTAAGCCACTGGCCATCATATTTGAAAAATCATGGCGGTCAGGTGAAGTTTCCAACTTCACTCACAAACTTGAGCCAAAGGTTATGATAATGGGGATCTCTGTAGTATCGCTTCTGTTCATTGAGAGCTTTCACTGCCCTTTCCAGTATTGCTGCCAGATTACTCTCCACCCTGGGGGAAGGTTTGCTCTGTCCACCTGACATACCTACAGATGGGATATATAAATAGGAAGTCAGTTCTGAGTAAGATCCCAATGACTGGAAAAAGGGAAATATAACCCCCATTTTCAAGAAGGGGAAAATGGATGACCTAGGGAACTACAGACCAGTCAGTCTCACCTCTGTGCATGGCAAAATCTTGGAGCAGATTCTCCTGGAAGGCATGCTAAGGAACATGAAAAACAACAAGATGGTTGGTGTCAGCCAGCATGGCTTCACTAAGGGGAAATCATAGAATAGTTACGGTTGGAAAGGACCTTAAGATCATCCAGTTCCAACCCCCCTGCCATGGGCAGGGACACCTCACACTAAACCATGCCACCCAAGGCTTCTTCCAACCTGGCCTTGAACACTGCCAGGGATGGAGCATTCACAACCTCCCTGGGCAACCCATTCCAGTGCCTCACCACCCTTAGAAGTAAAGAACTTCCTCCTTATATCCAATCTAAACTTCCCCTCTTGAAGTTTGAACCCATTAAATCCTGCCTGACCAATTTGGTGACCTTCTATGATGGGGCTACAGAACTGATGGACAGGGGCAGAGCAGCTGATATCATCTACCTGGACTTGTGCAAAGCATTCAACACTGTCCCACACAACATCCTTGCCTCTAAATTGGAGAGACATCAATTTGATAGGTGGACTACTCGGTGGACTACAGACCAGGGAACTACAGACCAGCCAGTATCACCTCTGTGCCTGGCAAAATCTTGGAGCATTCTCTTGAAAAGCAAGCTAATGCACATGAAAAACAGCGAGGTGGTTTGTGACAGCCAGCATGGCTTCACTAAGGGGAAATCCTGCCAGACCAATTTGGTGGCCTTCAGAATGGAGCCCCAGTGGGGCTACAGAACTGATAGATGGGGTAGAGCAGTTGACATCATCTACCTGGACTTGTGCAAAGCGACTTGTCCCGCATGACATCCTTGTCTCTAAATTGGTGAGACATCAATTTGATGGATGGACCACTCGGTGGATAAAGAACTGGCTGGATGGCCGCACACAAAGAGTTGTGGTCAATGGCTCAATGTCCAGCTGGAGACCAGTAACGAGTGGTGTCCCTCAGGGATCGGGGTTGGGACTGGTCTTGTTCAACATCTTTGTCACTGACATGGACAGTGGGATTGAGTGTGCCCTCAGCAAGTTTGCCAATGACACCAAGCTGTGTGGTTTGGTTGATACCCTGGAGGGAAGGAATGCCATGCAGAGGGACCTTGACACGCTTGTGAGGTGGGCTGATGCCAACCTCATGAAGTTTAACCATGCCAAGTGCAAGGTCCTGACCCTGGGTCAAAGCAAGTCCAGGCACAGCTACAGGTTGAGCGGAGAAGTGATTCAGAGCAGCCCTGCAAAGAAGGACTTGGGGGTGTTGAGGTGAGCTACAAGGAAGAAGTTCTTTACTGTGAGGGTGGTGAGGCACTGGTACAGGTTGCCCAAGTAAGTTGTGAATGCTCCATCCCTGGCAGTGTTCAAGGCCTGGTTGGATGGGGCTTGGAGTAACCTGGTCTAGTGTAAGGTATTCCTGCTTATGGCAGGGTGGGTGGAACTAGATGATCATAAGGTCCTTTCCAACCCAAACCATTCTATGATTCTATGCTTATTTAGCCATATTCCTAAACTGTCAACTTTTTGGCTGAGATTACAAGGAAAAAAGAATAAGTTTCTCAAAAATAATTATTATGCCAATACAGTGATATGATTGCAAGACAATAAGTATTTCTTTCACTATCCACCTATACAAATAAGTCTCTTTAAAGCATGCACTTCATACAAGAGAGAATTATTAAACCAAACAAAGAAATCAAAATAAGGACATCAAATAGGAATCCCATCAACCTGTCCTCAGTAGATGCAAAACTTGATATAATGGGCAGGTTCTAGATTAGAAATAAATCAAACTGACTGTTATGAAAATGCACACACAGGACACCCAATTAAAATAATAAAGCTTTTTGTCTCTCAGGAATATTAATTTAAATTGCAGATGAAACTTTTTAGGACATGCTGGCATTATAACAGAATAGGTTGCAGTCACTGAACTAATTACGTTCACTGACTTCAGATTTCAGTGACTTCAATTTTAAAAGAATATTTCAGTACATTCCCCTTGAATTTTAAACAAAAAGGTATCGCTTCCTTTCTAGTGAGTGTGAAAGAAGCCATTTTCACTCTTTCTGTTCTGAGACTGCTAGCACAAAGACCCTCTTATAGTTGAGCATAAGACTGACAAATGTAATTCCTCTTCATGTAAAGATTAACCTCAAACAAGACCAAAAGAATACAATCCTGCGTATGACTCTGTTATTGCTGGTCCTAGTCCAGCAATTTGACTTCAGAAGTTAAATTAGCAGTAGATGCCTTTGAATCACTTGCTGCCAAGGAATTCAGATACACCATTTAGTTCTAGTGCCCTGTCAAACTCAAGGCAGACTAATAAGCTACATTATATAAAACACCTATACTTGCATATTAGCATTCCTTGTTAAAAAACAAACAAACAACAGTCATCATTAGTATATGAATATTTCTAGATTTTCTAGTCAAAACATAGCAAGGCCAGCTATGTATGTACCAAAAAGCAAGACAAATCTGAGTGTATTTTCTTTCCTGATTGGGTTTGTTTCACAATTATGAAAAATTAATGACAATATTTTAATTTTATATTCCCTATAGAGGTTTTAGTTTCCTTGTAACTGATAGTCATTTTAGTTGGCAATCCTTTTAATCTACAGTAGTTAATGCAAAAAAAAAAACAAAAAGAGGAAAAAAGATAGTCTGTGCAGTCTCTCAAATTACGTAAACCATTTTCAGGCAAATTGAAATTTTAGAACTCAGAGGAAAAGTTAACTCATACACTTAATACAGCTGGCTTTGCTACATCTAGAGGTTTACTACAGAGCAAATTAGAAAAAAGGCTTTTAAATAAGTGAAATGAAGATTCCATCTTTGTCTTCTTGAAGCAATAAGGAGCCTTGAGAAGCCTGAAGACAATTTGGCATTTTACATCCTTGGGTAGGTGCTTATTACGAAGATGTAAGTCAAACAGTAATTCTCATTTAGCTCTCCAAGCACTGAATATAAGGCATTGCTGCATGTCCAGATCCCCATTAATGTATCTGCTTATAAACAGATTGAAGCATCTGCCCAGTGGACAGCTGAAATACGGAAATATTGCAGCATACAAAATGAGGCCATTTCAAGTTGGTGTATTATTGTTTTCTGAGAGGCACAGAGAACTGAAAGGTGCAGAAGTGATTTCATTTCTTAAGATAGACTTGTCAAGCTGTAGCACAGGGAATTTTAAGGCATGTTTTATTTCCCACAGAAATCACTACCAAAATTTTACACACAGTTGTCAGTGAAAACATACTAGCTATACTTCATGGCTGTTCTGCCTAGAGGAGGTTTTTCTGTCTATGATCATATAATATTCTCACTAATTTATCTGACACTCATTTCCCCAACCCACCCACTCTTCGCTCTGCTTAAAACTCCTTACCTCCTTATGACACTTCTTGAGCAGACTGATAACTAGGTTACATTCCTCAGTGTGCAGATGAGGAGACAGGTCTGGATGCATCTTTAGTGAGGGATAATTTTAGTAGCACAAAGACAAGAGTCTGAGGAAAACTTCCACCTGCCAACATTAAAATATGAAGTATAACCAGAAAGTCTGAGTTAACTGCTTAGAGTATTGTCACACAGCTATTTTAACAAAATATATTTTAGATCAAGACGCAGCTTAATACGTATGATTTCTACTACACAGTTTAAAGTAATTAAAACCAGCACATGCCTGCTCTTCTACACAGCCCAAATGTTAGCAGTTAACTGGAAGATTACATTCCTTGCTATTATGAACATAAGCATGCATTTGGGATTTCAATTTTTAAGGGACTGCCTAGTATCATTAATCTTTCTTGAGCTTCCTTTTCACTTTCCTGAGTTGTCTTCTTTATAGTTTAAAAAAGAAAAAAAGCTAAACTTAGGTAATTTTCTTTCTCCCTTCTGCAAGGGTGGATCAGGACAGGAAGCACAATAGCATGTCATTGCAGCACTCTAAGAACTGGCATCTTTTTAATTATCTATGAACTTTTTGAAAATCCTGACACAAAGCTTTGAAGATGCTTTTAAAAACAGCACTTAATCACTCAGTCAAAACAGTAATGATTTGTTAAAAGTTATGCCCATCTGGAATGTCCCTTCTTGCAGCTTCACACTGTTCCCTCTTGCCCTTTCACCATGTTCCTCTGGAAAACATCTGGATCTGCCTTCTGCATGAACTCCCTACACCTTCAGGCTGTGGAAGACAGCATTTAGGTTTGCCCTGAGTCTTCTCATTTGAACACTAAAGAAGCCTACCTCCCATAACCTTGCTGCATAGGCCAGCTCTTCCACCCTCCTGAGCCTCTTCGTTTCCTCTTTGCTAGACTCGGCTTTTTACCACTTCTGTCAGACTGTGGGACCAAAATGTGAACAAAGTATTTCAGATGTATCTTCAAGACTACCAAGGAGAAGGAATAATAGTAACTCCCTGCCGGCTACAGTTCTAACACAGCCCAGTGTGCCGTTAGCCTTTGTTGCCACAAGGGTGCACTGCTAAACCGTGTTCTAAATTCATGTCAACCACAACCCTTTTCTGCAGTCCTCTGCAGGGTTCCGTGGGTTTGAGCAAACTTCATTCTAGAAGTACATTTTTATGTTACCTCGCATGTGAACAAAACGAAAACCCAAGTAATTTTAATTTCGAAGATCTTCTGTTGAAACGGATGAAAGCATTGTATAAAAGTGGCTGAAATGACACTTTTGTTGTGGAAGATCACCAGAGAGGGAAGAAGAAAATGCCAGTTCATACCAGAACAAATGGACTCATCCTGACAAAATTCTACTTGTATTATCCATATGGCCACTGAATTAAAAAGATGCCTTTTGTTTACTTAACAATTTTTTACTATCTTCCCCACCCCCTCCCCGGAGATCACCTTTCTAGCTACAGTACATCAGGCAAACACCACTACAAATTACACTAAGCAGCCACCACTGGTTTAACATTCCAGCTAGATGTAGCTAGTGGTCAGATTTTACAGTTGCAGAATCCCAATACTGAGCTGCAGTGCTGGCAGCTCTGCTCTACACTGTTATTCCTTAATATTAATTAATTAATTAATATAAATTAACTTAAATACTTAGAGTATTTAAGTAGCCTATTTGGCTTGAGGAGGTATGTTCCCTAATTTACCCAGTGTTTCCTATCGTGTTCAGCTTAACAAGAGTTACATTCCCACAAGCAAACTAAATTTTAAAAACCCAAACAGATTTAAAAGCCTCTTGACACCCATGAGAATATGTTCCACATGGTGCTGCAAAAACATGTAGTAAATTCTTTCAATCCTCCCCCTTATTATCTGGGAGTCTAATATTACACTACATATACTCTTAGTACAGATGAAGTTGGAAACAAGTACAAGTTGCTTAAGCATTCTGTCCAACAAATTAGCAAATGAACCTCTAGAAGTATGACAGCAGGAGCACGATAGTAACAGGAAAGTGATTAAGAACCCTACTGTGTTATTGCCACCAGCTTTTGATTGCATGCCACACAAAGTCAATGTGTTTTAAATTTATCAGTGGATTTTTTTGATAGCAGTAGTGTTAGCATTTCCTTGAGAGGGTGACCTGCTCAGGGACTGTGCATTACTTTAACGTGTATGAACCCGGATGATTATTAAATCTCTCCATCATTAAGCCTCCAACTGCTGTTCTAACACTGTCATCTGAGCTGGCTATCTCGGAAGGAGAAAACAAGACCAGTGCCATAGTGAAATAGGTAGCATGCACATCAGCAGAGGCCAGAAAGTCAGAGGGAGCATTTCAATGAAAGATTTACTATTTCTAAACTAAGATTAGTAATCACTGCCATTATTTACAGAATTACTCTCACATAGAGTGCATGAAAGCTATCAATGCCACAAATAGACAGGTGACAGTGCATTTCATCAATTAAGAGCCTTCTAACAATTCAAATTAGTTTTTCCAATGGCACATCTTGCAGGACAGATGCTACAAATCAGAGGTGCTGTCACACTAGTTCTTAGATCAGTACTCCTGAAATTAAGTTTCAGATAGCATTCAATATTAAACTCTTTCAGCCACCAGATATGGCACTCAGTTCATGTAGGCACCAAAGGAGTAAAGTAACAAAAGATCTTACAGTGGTCATGGAAGGTTTAACTGAAGCCTCTTAAGTACTTTGAAGTTCATGACTGAACAGTGTTATCAGTGCTCAGTATTATATTTACGTTTAGGAGTTTCATATTGGTGATCAATGAATGATCAGAAAAGGCTAAAATATTTTTGCTGGAGGGGACTGACTCTGACAGATGAATGAGTTTCAAGAGTAACAAAAACATGTATGAAAACAAGATGGCATAAGCTATTGTTTCCTTAATTTCTTTTCAACAGTGTTCTAGTCTAAAATGAAGACAGCAGTTGCCATCTTACCAGAATTTAAGTCCACATGGATGGAATTTTGGTAGCTCATAAAGAGCCTAAGTATGAAAAAGCTTGGGGGGAAAGAGATGTGACACACACCCCCCCCCCCAAAAAAAAAACAAACAAACAAAACACTAGGAATAAGCAATACGTATTACTCTGATAAAACTACTAACAGAAATTCTGGATAAAGAACTCCATTACAGTATCACAGTATCACAGTATGCTAGAGATTGGAAGGGACCTCGAAAGATCATCTAGTCCAATCCCCCTGCCGGAGCAGGAACACCTAGATAATGTTACACAGGAATGTGTCCAGGCGGGTTTTGAATGTCTCCAGGGAAGGAGACTCCACAACCTCCCTGGGCAGCCTGTTCCAGTGTTCCGTCACCCTCACTGAGAAGAAGTTTCTTCTCCAGTTTAAGTGGAACCTCTTGTGTTCCAGTTTGTACCCATTACCCCTTGTCCTATCGTTGTTTGCCACTGAGTAGAGCCTGGCTCCATCCTCGTGACACTCCCCCTTTATATATTTATAGACACTTATAAGGTCACCCCTCAGTCTCGTCTTCTAAAAACTACAGAGAACCAGCTCCCTCAGTCTTTCCTCATAAGGGAGATGCTCCACTCCCTTAATCATCTTAGTTGCCCTGTGCTGGACTCTCTCCAGCAGCTCCCCGTCCTTCTTGAACTGAGGGGCCCAGAACTGGACACAATATTCCAGATGGGGTCTCACCAGGGCAGAGTAGAGGGGAAGGAGGACCTCTCTCGACCTACTAACCACCGCCCTTCTAATACACCCCAGGATGCCATTGGCCTTCTTAGCCACAAGGGCACAGTGTTGGCTCATGGTCATCCTGTCGTCCACTAGGACCCCCAGGTCCCTCTCCCCTACACTGCTCTCTAGCAGGTCGTTCCCCAACCTATACTGGAACCCGGGGTTGTTCCTGCCCAGATGCAGGACTCTACGCTTTCCCTTGTTATATTTCATCAAGTTACTCCCTGCCCAACTCTCCAGCCTGTCCAGGTCTCGCTGGATGGCAGCACAGCCTTCTGGCGTGTCAGCCACTCCTCCCAGCTTAGTGTCATCAGCAAACTTGCTGATAGTACACTCAATTCCCTCATCTAAATCGTTGATGAATATATTAAATAATACCGGTCCCAGTACTGACCCTTGAGGCACTCCACTAGTTACAGGCCTCCAACTAGACTCAGCCCCATAGACTACAACTCTCTGGCTTCTCTCCTTCAGCCAGTTCGCAGTCCACCTCACTACCTGATCATCCAGTCCACACTTCCTCAATTTAGCCGTGAGGATGCTGTGGGAGACTGTGTCAAATGCTTTGCTGAAGTCAAGGTAGACCACATCCACCGCTCTGCCATCATCCATCCACCGTGTTATTTCCTCATAAAAGGCTAAGAGATTGGTCAAACATGATTTCCCCCTGGTGAAGCCATGTTGACTGCCCCTCATAACCCTCTTATCCTTGATATGCCTTAAGATGGCACCAAGGACAAGGTGTTCCATCACTTTCCCAGGGATGGAGGTGAGGCTGACCGGTCTATAGTTACCCGGGTCCTCCTTCTTGCCCTTTTTGAAGACTGGAGTGACATTTGCTTTCCTCCAGTCCTCAGGCACCTCTCCCGTTTCCCAAGACTTGGTAAAGATGATGGCGAGTGGTTGCTTTAGTCTCACTGATCAACCTCATGCTTAATATTTCCATGTCTGGGGGACAACAATGAAAGAAAGGTTTAAATATAGATAACTGCTTTTCTAAGATGCTTTTTCCATATGGCATTACAGGAGACTTTAAAAAAAAAATAAAAAAAATATTTTTTAACAAAGTTTTGCTAAATTTCCCATTTTAAAAGCTGCCCATAAAACTCTGGGTTGCTGGTTTGGGTTTTTTTTTCCCTAAGTTTCAAATGTCCATGGTAAAAAAAAAAAAAAAAAACAAAAAAAAAACCCATCAGATGAATTCACATATTGCTTAGGAAAAAAATGACTTCTTAAACCAAAATGAAAATCTTTGTTTACTAACCCTGAAGATCAAAAAATTGCATCAGAGCATGTCCATTGCTAGTAACGAAGCTTCTCACCCAAAATCAGAGCTTCCTTTGCACATCATTACAGAACACACACATTTGCTTCAACCACTCAAGTAATAGCAGGAGGTGGCAGCATCATCACCCAAAGGAGACCACGTCTAGCTCTCCACATTAGTAGCCACTCTACTAACAATGTGTAACATTTACTTTCACACTTCACTGTCCAACCTGAGTAACACGAGGTATTTGAAGTTTTAAGCTCTTATTTACATAGTATGTTCCGTCTGGCTTTGGAGAAAAATACTTTTGATCTAAACAGCTCTTTGTTTATTCAAATCATTAGTGGTTTCTGTAGGATTATACAAAGTTTTGGCATAAAAAAGGATTCAGCTCCACCCCTAAGTTGGTTGGTGTCACCTAAAGGTAACATCACTTCAGCAGAATTATCTTTCATATGCAGTTTATAAATATTCTTGATAGTAACATCTTAGAATGCTCAGATCATTTCAGTGAAATGAGAAGTCACAGCTGAGGAACGCAATTTCAAAAAACTAGGGAACTCTAAAGTAAAGACTCTGCTTCTAGCTTTCAGTAACATGGATAATGTCTCCCCGACCAGGATATTAATGCATGCAGCTGTCCTTAAGGTTGTGATTAGGCACATCAAGAAAGACCCTCAACTTTCCACCGCTTTCAAGAAACTTAGAAATTCACCTTAATAAACCAAGTTTAGCTAAATCTTTTAAAAATTTTTCATAACCCCTTGAGTATCAGTCTACAAAACTGTGCAGTAGTTTTTCAATATTACATATGACAATGGAAAACAATTTAGATAAATGTATGTGTGTTATGAAGACTTGTAAACAGTAATGATATGCAAAAGGGGGTAAATTATGCCCACTTTAAAATGTTTTCTATTAGTAGATTGCATTTACTTTCCCTGAACCTAAAGAATAATTAAAAAAACAAAACCCAGAACTTTAATACGATTCATATCAATTTTAATTTTGTACATGACCACTTTCTGCCAACAATTCAACATCCCTTACAGGAGCTGAATGAGTGCTTACCTGCTACTTGTAGCTCATAAAACTACATCATACCTGATTTTACACTTTGCAAAGCAAGTCAAGAAGGTGTTATGACTAAAGCAAGCTGAAGGGCAACTTGAATATCAAGTAAGTTCTATTTCTGGCTAAAATAAATGATCAAGGGAAGTACAGTAAGCCATTTTTGCCTCCTGGCAGTTATTTAAGGTTGTATTCGTACAACAACCATCTGCATAGAGATCAAAAGGATCATGCTCCCCAGTTGGAAAAGCCAGTGTCTCCTTCCTTGAGCAGACCCTGGAGGAAGGCACATGGCACTTTGGCAGAAGCCAGTGTACTGCTAGCGTAACACAGCTCTGCTATCAAGTGAAAGGAGCTGCTGCACCTACAGTGTTCTCAACAGTTATGGCAGAAGCAGAGATGCCCGCTTAAGAGCCCTCACTGTCTTCAGTCTGTAGTTTCTCACTGTGATGGGATATGCACACACAGAGGGAAAAGCAAGCTTATGACGGCTGCAATACAGCCTCATGTTCCCACTTAGAACGGCCCTCTTGAAAGCCCTGCTCGAGCCCTAAAGGAGGACGGGAGCAGAGGGTCCCAGAAGCCGGCCCCAAGCTGAAGCAGGGCACGTCACGGTTCCCCACAGCCGGGTGCGTGGACGGCGGGGAGGTGAGTGGGGATGGAGCTTCCCCACATACTCATTCCTCTTTTCCTTTAGGCCTCGAAAAGAACAACACTGCCCGATCGGGTCCGGCCAAAGCCTCCCTCTCAGCCACCCTCACACTTACTCCAGTCCTCAGCGGACGAGCGCACCCAGGCACCGCCACAGACGCGCCGTCCGCCCAGCGCCAGGCCGAGGCACGGCTGACAGCGACAGACCCAACCGGAAACCAGCTCACAGCACCGGGCAGACGGGAGAACAGCCCTCACAGCGCCGGCGCGGGGCGGAGCGGGGCGGAGCGGGGCGGGGCGGGGGATGAGCTGCCTTGTTATTGGTCCGCTCCGTCACCATGCGCAGTCCGATTGGGAGCTTCGAAAAGTGGGCGGTGCCCGGCAATTGGCGGGCTCCCGGCGGCCGGTTGCCTCAAGTACGGCCGCTGCCTCCGCCGCGGTACGTGGTGCTCCCCTCCGTTACGCCGGTCCTTTCGTGTCTGTGCGGGCTGCCTGAGCTATTCCGGACGGGCAGTAACGGGTGAGTGCCAGCGCCCCATCCCCCTCCAGAAGCTCACACCAGGCATCAATGAGGTAAACGTCTGAGGACGTGGGGAAAAGTTACTATAGGAAGCTGTTTAACTTGCTGTTGGCGTCTGCCGAAAGCTGGTAGTGCTGCGCCTAAGGCTGATGCCAACGTTCTGCTAGTCGTGTTAGGTACAGCTTTGTATATCTTAACTACGGGAGGGAGCCTGCCTCCGACTTGGTTCTCACCTTTCACGCTTCAGCTTTCCAGGTGGCTTTGTCATGGATGAAACTGTTGCCGAGTATATCCGAGCAACTGTACAAAAAATCCCACGAAAAGAAATCAAGACAATTCTACAGGAATGGGGCTTTCTGTCTGAGAAGCAGCTGCAAACCATAAACTTCGGTCAGATAAAGAAGCGCATCGCTTACGATATTTTTCAGCTGTGTGAGGTAATCCTCTCCTCTGGCAGCTGCTTCTCAGTAACGTACAGGACACACATTGAAGCACTGTCAGAACCAAATTCTTATGAATAAATGATTTTGTTTGGTCTTGACATAGCATCAAATTTCAGTCTGTAGTATGAAAAATGTAAAACTGAGCTGGGGATGCCATCAGTTTTGTCTGTGATAGGACTGCAGGATTAACCTTCCTGCATAGGGAAGTACATGTTATGAGCTCCAAGTTGCACGAGCTAGAGAAAAGCTCTGTGTTGTAAGCCTTTAAAAAATGAGTACGTGTCTAAATTCTAATATAAAGGCACTGATTGCTATCAAGTCATTACACAGAGCTAATTTAAATCTAGCATGGGTAATAATAGCACTAGTATATGTATTCTATAGGAACTTTGGAAACATGTTTGGCCAGAGTTATGTCTGTTCTGTGTCCTGTGAGCAAAAAAAGCTTTCTTCTATCTGACTTACCTACTCCTGATTTTGGTGTACCAGGAATCTTTGTATGTGTCTTCATATATAGAATCATAACCTAGATAGATATAGTTATTGTTGTTATCTTGCATTCTGTACCTTTTTGTATCATTTGCTCTGAATTTCATACGCAAAGGTTAGTCATGTGGAGTTGAGCTCAAATGGCAGGCAAGAAATTGTTGACTTGTTCTTGTAAGATAGCAAATGTAATATTTTAAAATGGCATTTGTTTCGGACACTGACCTGTAATAAGTGGTTAAGTTTCTTAAGAAACTGTAAAGGTTACATAAGGAGAAACAAATCATGTTAGAATACCAGACAGTGGAATACTAATCAGTGTTGTATCATGTCATGAAGACCTGCTCTTTTTAGTTTCTAAGAGCTTGTTCATTATAGCATAAGGGCAACATTGTTGCTGCCTCTGCAGAGGAACACTTGAACCTTGATGAAATAGCTTTCTTTATTGATTTCTCGAGAATGTTGTGTTCATATTGGGACCGGCTGTGGTGTCTTTGAGCAGAATGTACATGCCAAGGACATCAGTGCAGTGTCATTTGAATTTCCAGTACTGAGAATTTTCACTTACTAAACATTATGATGGAATGTTCTGGACCTGCAGTTGACTATTACTCTTCTTTCTAGGAAATACCTGGAAGCATAAAGGAAGCAGCTGTCCTAGACATGATCTGTAAGTTAAAAACACAAAAAAAAGATTGAAAATACCATCTTTGTATTTTTTCTGAATAAGTTGGTAACACCCTTAATTGTGTAGCAATTGCCCCAGAGAGGTACAGATTAATTTGCTGCAGATCGCATTTTAGATGTATCTTACTGGATCTGACCTTTTCTAGAAAGAATAATAAAATCTAAAACTGAAAATCAACAAAAGGACATTTGCTTCTTCTGAGGTATAAATAGATGTAGACTGTGGTAAGCCACATATCAGTCTATACTTCTTAGTTTGAGTTTTGACTGAGTTTTGGTAGTTATAGGTAAGATTTTTCTTTAAACACTGAACCTCAGGGATACCTTTTATTAGTCACTTAACTGAATTACAACAGATCTCCCCATCTTGTTTAATAAAAAAAATTTTGCATTTATATTTGCTATGCGTAGTAATTTTAAGAATGCTGAATAAATTATATTGCATTATCTGAACTATTTTTTTTAACAACCTGGTCATAAGTACTGTAAAATTATTGTTCCTTTAATTACCATTTGGTAATACACTATGTTATTGAACAATTCCCATTTTTCTTAGACACCCATGCCTATGCACATAAGAGAACATGGAAAGTATACAAGCTTCTCACAACAGGTAAGATGTCTTTCCGTGCTGTAATCTCACAGTTCTTGGCAACTTACTGCACTGCTACCCCATACCATACATTTTAAACCCAAGTATAGTCCACTGGGTTTTTTCAGTAGATATCTTCAACATTTAACTATAGTCTAGCGTGGATTTTTCAATTGACATGTATTCTAAAAATATTAAATATATATTCTATTAAATTCTCAAGCAATTATTAGAAGTTAGGATCTACTAATTATATAATAAACTTTATAGAGCAATACAGGGGCTCAAATTTAATACACAGATTTTTGTATAAGGCTATGCAACTTAAGCTTTTTCTGCTTATTTTATATCAGGAAAGCTAAAGACATGTCTGACCTAGCTCTTGTAAACACAAGTCTTGTTTCTTTTTTTCCTTTTTCTTGTGTAGTAGAGAAAGAAACGATGTATTTTGACAGAAGAGATTTCGAAAAGAAATTTAAAAGAAAACTTCGTTCAGCCTTGGGAAAGGTAAGAATAAATTCATTCTAAATGTGTTACACAGCTCTATTGTCAATAGATTGTTTTCATAACTTTAGCAAAGTATTTTGTGGGTTGGTTTGGGGGTATTTTTCTTCGTCTGCATCAAGAATTAATTGAACTAATCATTTAGGAATGGTAGGAACTGCATGTGAAATAGACAGTAGTTTCTTATCTTTATCTAAAGTTCCTGCAACTCTACAATTATGCTGGAGTGAAATAAAATGTAAAATTGTTTTAAAATATGACTGGCCTTGGGAAAGGTGGCACGTTTACGTTTTCCATCAAATCTTTGCCCTGAGTGTACATGTTGCCTAGGTGAGCTAATATTGCTTTGTCCCATTACCCAGTAACAACAATTGTAGCACAGTTATATGTTTCTTTTTAGTTCTTGTTTTGAAATAATTTTTGATGGCTATGAGAACTAGGCCCTGGCATTTAATTACATTATAATGGCTGGAAGGTCACTGTCAATAACAAGGAGCAATTTCTAGACTACAGAAATGAGTCGAAAGCAGATACTATCACTTCACTTTTTTACTAAGCAATGCGCAGAAGCGTTTTCTTGCTTTAGCTCACCAACTTCACTTAAGTAAGGTAACAGAAATTGCCTCTGGCTAGTTGCTGTGTCACTGCTTGACACACGAAGGATTCCCACTCTCACCAGTAGAGGGCAACAAATACAATTCAGAGTAACATATAAGCAGCAGTTCATACAGCTGTAGTACAATCAAGTTTTGCAATATTTTATGTTAAACGTTAAATATTTAAAATGCACAAAAACTTTGAGAAGTTATTTTGGTTCAGTAATATGAGCAGTTTATGAATTAGCTGGACTAAAAGCTTGGCTACATGTATCTCAGTCAAAGGGAGAGTTAGTTGATCGGGCATTTTAAGGATATTTTCCCACTCTTTTAACTCGCTGAGATTGAGTCAAGGTAAGAAGTAACCAAGGAGTGAATCTACAAAAACAGGAAAGGGAATCTTATTCAAATTCCTGATTGTGCACTCTTAAGCAGTGATAAACATTACATACAGGTCTAAAAATTACAAGCTGATCAAAAGTTTGGTTTCTCAAGAATTAGACATAATGAAAATACTGCCATTAGCCCTCCATCTAAATAGACACCTTTTTCTTGTGATGTCATTTTCCCTACAGAAATCAAGGTTTTTATAATAAGCTATTTCTATTTTTTCCCTTCAGAAGAAAGTGTGTATCAACAGGAAGGAAAGTCATATTAAGAGTCTGAAATAGCTCTTTTTTGTTCTGTATTTTTTCCTCCCTGTTTTGTGAGGTAATTGTTCTTTGGTAATTTGATTAAGTACAATCCTCACCACACTAGTGTGATTTGTTTCTTATTCAAGCAATGGTGTACTAAATTATGATTGGGTCGTGTGAATACAGGGTTAAATCTTTACAGACTGTACCTGACTGTACTGGTAAATCAAAGCTTTTCTTTCTGTGTTAGGTGACCATCAACTTTAGAGAGTATGAGGATAATGCAATCTGGATTAGGATTGCCTGGGGATCACCGCGTCGGGAGCCAAACCAATACAGAGCCAGCTATGTTGTATACCATTCACACGCTCCTTATGTCTTTATTTCTTTCTCGCAATATAGGAGCAACTTCCCTCTGCTCTGTCAGGTATGAAATAAAACTGTGTAGACCCTGACTTTACCACTGTCAAAGTAGAGCTGTAACTGTGTTAGCTTGTAAGAGAATGCATAAAGATTTGTCACGTAATGTAATTATTTACTCGTTTACATAGTTGGGGTTTTTTTTTCCTCCCTTAGCTCATGGTAAAAATGGGGCAAAAATGAATCTTTGCAACCTTTGGAATGCTGCATCATGAATAAAGTCATTTTAATGGGATTTTTGCTGACCTTGAATTGTTCTAATTTCTTAACCAAGTGTTAGACAGCATTCAGTTAAATTGTTTCATGAAATTGAAGACTATCACATTAACAGTTTACTTTAACAGTTTACTTCAAGAATTGAATATATGAGCTCATTGGGGACTGCTATTAAGTAGTTTTAAAAGACATTTTCTGTCAATGTAGAGTGAACAGCACTGGCAGTCTTTTTTTTTTTTTACTTTTGTTTTTTTTTTTCCCTTGTTTAGCAGACTTCCATCCTAGTAATGTAATTATTTATTTCTTTGTTTTTTCAGGTTGATAAAGCTCTAGGGGCTTATCTTGTTAATCCTGTGAATGCTTTTAAATATTAACCTAAGCTTAATAACAGTCTGTTCAACGCTTCTTCAGACATGAGAATTTTGGTAGTTACACACAGCTGCTTACCTTGTAACAAAACCACCACCAAGTCCAGAAACACTGTATTTTTTATTTCTTTTTGTATTATAGACATAGTGATAATTAAGGCTGATGTTAAAACAATTTAAATTTTTATCTGAAGGCCCTGGTTGCTGCTTCCTATTCCCATGACATCTGTTCAATGGAGCTTCAAGGTCGTTATTTAAACTCCCTTAAAGACTGTGTGTTTAAAAGATATAACCAGGTGAGTCACTTTACAAATACATCCCAAGATAAATCTTACTTTTTGTTTCGGGCCTATTTCTCAACCCTAAGCAAGGGGGGGAATTCACCTTTTACAAGCTGCCATCAAGTTAAAATAACATTGAACTACTGAGGTGGACAAGCCCTTTTTATTAAGGTAACATTACAGTAGGGATGTAATTACTTGGCATCCCACCTATGCTTTATTGTTGTTATTCCTGATGGTCAAACATCTAAAATTTGTATGAACAACCCAGTCCTAGAATTTCTTGGCATTTAACTAGGCTTCCAAGAGCAGTAAGTTGAAGCCTATTGGAATAGGCGCTTAACCCTGCTCATCCATGTAAAATTTGCTCGTGGAATCACAGAGTAGTTAGGGTTGGAAAGGACCTTAAGATCATCAAGTTCCAATCCCCCTGCCATGAGCAGGGACATCTCACACTAAACTGTGCCACCCAAGGCTTTGTCCAGCCTGGCCTTGAACACCACCAGGGATGGAGCATTCACAACTTGCCTGGGCAACCCATTTCAGTGCCTCACCACCCTCACAGTAGAACTTCTTCCTTATATCCAATCTAAACTTCCCTTGTTGTGTTTTCACCCATTACCCCTTGTCCTGTCACTACAGTCCCTAATGAAGAGTCCATTCCCAGCAACCCTATAGCCCCCCCTTCAAGTACTGGAAGGCTGCTATGGGGTCTCCATGCAGCCTTCTCTTCTCCAGGCTGAACAGCCCCAACTTTCTCAGCCTGTCTTCATATGGGAGGTGCTCCAGTCCCCTGATCACCCTCGTGGCCTCCTCTGGACTTGTTCCAACAGTTCCATGTCCTTTTTATGTTGAGGACACCAGAACTGCACACAATGCTCCAGGTGAGGTCTCACAAGAGCAGAGTAGAGGGGCAGGATCACCTCCTTCGACCTGCTGGTCACGCTCCTTTTGATGCAGCCCAGGATACGGTTGCTTTCTGGGCTGTGAGCGCACACTGTAGCCGGCTCATGTTCATTTTCTCATCAACCAACACCTCCAAGTCCTTCTCTGCAGGGCTGCTCTGAATCTCTTCTCTGCCCCCAACCTGTAGCTGTGCCTGGGATTGCTCTGACCCAGCTGTAGGACCTTGCACTTGGCATGGTTAAACTTCATGAGGTTGGCATCAGCCCACTTCACAAGCGTGTCGAGTTCCCTCTGGATGGCATTCCTTCCCTCCAGCGTATCAACCGAACCACACAGCTCGGTGTCATCGGCAAACTTGCTGAGGGTGCACTCAATCCCATGTCCATGTCAGCGACAAAGATGTTGAACAAGGCCGGTCCCAACACCGATCCCTGAGGGACACCACTCGTTACTGGTCTCCAGCCGGACATTGAGCCATTGACCACAACCCTTTGTGTGCGGCCATCCAGCCAGTTCTTCATCCACCACGTAGTCCACCTATCAGATGGATGTCTCTCCAATTTAGAGATAAGGATGTCATACGGGACATTCTCAAATGCTTTGCACAAGTCCAGGTAGATGACGTCAACTGCTCTACCCCTGTCCATCAGTTCCGTAGCCCCATCATAGAAGGCCACCAAATTGGTCAAGCAGGATTTCCCCTTAGTGAAGCCATGCTGGCTGTCACCAAGCACCTTGTTGATTTTCATGTGCCTTAGCATGCCTTCCAGGAGAATCTGCTCCAAGATGTTGCCAGGCACAGAGGTGAGACTGACTGGTCTGTAGTTCCCTGGGTCATCCATTTTCCCCTTCTTGAAAATGGGGGTTATATTTCCCTTTTTCCAGTCGTCAGGAACTTCACCTGACTGCCATGATTTTTCAAATATGGTGGACAGTGGCTTAGCAACTTCATTCGTCAGCTCCTTCAGGACCCATGGATGGATTTCATCAGGTCCCATGGACTTGTGCACATTCGGATTCTTAAGATGGTCTTGAACCAGATCCTCTCCTCCAGTCTTCATTCCCACAGTCCCTGTGTCTGCCTTCCAAGACTTGGGTGGTGTGGAAAATGTTCACAAGTATCACAGGACGGGTGTTCTTGTCTCAGACTAAAGCTGGGCTTTCTGACTTGTAATTACTGTCAAGAATTGGAAAGATGCTCACTTTCAGAATGAAGCAAAACGTGGAAATCTTTTCAGCTACAGCCTCTAAAAGCGGAAATGAACTAAACCTTTTTTTTTTTCCTTTTTATGTTTAGAACATCCAGACTTTTTATTCTGAACCTCTACAGGAACAGAGTGTAGAACCAGAGAGTGGTATGTATATTTAAAACTAAACAGTAGTTTCAATGCTATTTCTGCTGGCTTATGAAATGAGATTCATTAGTTTGGGTTTTTCTTTTGGCTAGGAATGAAAACATAAATGATGGAGACAGAATTTATCACTGTCATTTTTTGCTAAGCTAGTTAAAATTATTTTCAGATTTTCTCTAATCTGGTGAGAAAAGCAGCATTGTATCAGCTGACAAAGTTGTCTTTCTGTTTTTTACCTTCCATACTCTTTTCCCCTGCAGATTCAAGGTTAGTTTACGAAAACAGAAAAACTAAAGAAAAAATACGGAGAATGAATCAGCAGATTTTTGGTAATGATCCCCTACCGAAACTTGAATATGTACAATATGAGGTAAAAAATGCAAAAACTTTGGTTTTTTTTTATCATTTAATTGTAATAATATGTAAAATATTTCTGGCTTATACTCCCTGGTTAAATTTTGTATTAACAGCTTCAGACGATGTTTAAAAGTTATCCTGAACAGAATGTTTTGCATCGAAAAGAACCGTTCAGATGTCTGGTGAAGTTTTCTAGTCCACATCTCTTAGAATCATTGAAATCCCTGGCGGCAACGAGTAAGTGTTCTAATTCTATAAAATGGAGGAAAAATCCACATTTAAATATTCGTCATCTTACATTCTGCTTCTGTATTGTGTACAGGAGAACCTTTGCAGTTTGTTCAGAAATACATAGAAATCTAGTAGAATAAAAATATTACCAGTCTGAAAACTTTCTAAACACATACCAGTTTGTTCTTAGACTTACTAGTTTGTACATACATATTCAAGCTGTGGTTTAGTTTTAGAACAGTTATGAAAGGTAAATATTCTTTGGGTTAAGCTCTAATTATCTGCCTTTCTCTCCAGGTATGGTTGATGCACCGCTTTCACCACTGCTTATCTCTCTATTACGCAGACCTAGGACCTATTTTAGAATTAAAGAGAAAACTGCTCAATTTCCAGAAGGCTTTCTAAGTCCCTAACTTAAGACCAATTCACAGAGGAATATACAATTCATTTATTACTGGTATTAATCTAAACCACTGTAAATGTTAAAGAACATCTTTAAAAATAACTTGTATTTTTTCCAAACTATTGCTTCTCTGAATCAGTTTTCCATATTTGTCTTTCAGCAGAAGGGTGAGCCCTTTCCTTAAATAACCAGGAAAAAAAAAAAATAGCTGTGAAATTTAAACAGATTGCAGGCTCTTGGCATATAGGTGGCAGTAAGAGGTTTCCGTTCATCTTGAGTTGATGTTAATGCAGAGGTTTTGCTCACTGAGGGCAACAGCCTGTAACAAGTACTGGAAATAAGATATTCATACAAATAGGTAGATTTTTTATCAAATTTCCTCCTAGAGGAATACAGTGAAATAAGCAGTAATTTCATTTTTGTGGAAGTCCACTGTTTAGTGTATTCCCATTAAGTTTTGATCTTTCTGCAATCCTTGCACATTACCAGCTTGTGGTGCTTGGAGACATGAAGACTGCAAACTTGAGACGGAAACATTTACCACTGCAAACAGCAGCATTGCACTGGAATTCGATAGGGTTGGTATATTTCAACTAGTAATTAGCTATTTCCATGTAATTTGCTGCATCATTTGTAATTTGATGTGAATGTGATCTGAAGAGGCAGGTTTTCAGTAAGTGTTACTTTTAATTCTGTTACCTGGAAAGTTCATGCATCTACTTTGTGTGCAGGGAATTTCTGGTACACTTCAGATACCTCAATGTGCAGAGAGTCTTTCGTAACTTCACAGCACAGCGTAAATATTTTCAGAGGCTGTATGGAATGTCTTTCTTCTGAAACTGTAAATAAATGTGTAAATTAAGTCTTCTCAATAGAAGCTTGTTTTGCCTGACTCAGAAACATGACTTAACCTATACTGATTTTTGGCCTGTTCTCATTTTCATCAGCATTTCTGTCTATCTTGCCCATAGAAAGAAGTTAGTTGAGGACTATGGGCTACTACTGTATTTCTCAGACTTCCCTCTCTGGACTTAAATGTTAGTTTGTGAAAAAACATAATGGTATGATTAATCATAGACTCATACAGTAGTTAGGGTTGGAAAGGACCTTAAGATCACCTGGTTCCAACCCCCCTGCCACAGGCAGGGAAACCTCACAACAGACCCTGTCACCCAAGACTTAATCCAACCTGGATGAAACAATGGCAGGTTTTCTAATACACAGACCATACAGGACACATACAGTTGTCTCTTGCCAACTTACACCCTTAGAGAGCCTTTCAGGACCCAGACCATTAACATTCCCCTATGCACCTGCCTCTGTGCAACTGCTTCCAAATGCTTACTCCTAAATGACTTACTTCAGGCATTTAATTAACTACCGCAAAGTTCCAAAATACCCCTTAGAACAGTGTGGGTTACCTAGCCTATGGCCTGTATCTGACTCGTGCTTCTGGGAAAGGCAGCCTCCATCTCCCCTATAACAACTGCAAAGTAGGTGTCTCTGATGTACCTTTGTCCCTCTAACTTCCTGTAATGAAGGTTACAGAACAGCGCAAGTGAACGTGAGGCAGGCCTACTTACCCCCACCACGGGAGGGTGACGGGGCTGAGGCTGGCACAAGCGTTCTCCCTGTGGAAGAAGCCCCAGCTCCAGTATTCTCACATCCCCGCCATTACCTTCTCCTTTTCGTTTGCTTCCGTTGTACAGCCGCCTGCCCAGCGCTCGCTGCACGGCCACCCTAATGGCTCCTCCTCCTCCCCTCAGCACCCATCACAGTAACGGCTCCTCTTCCCTCCAGCGCCCCGCCGCAGTAATGGCTCCTCCTCGTCCTCCCCTCAGCACCCATCACAGTAACGGCTCCTCCTCCTCCCCTCAGCACCCATCACAGTAACGGCTCCTCCTCCTCCCTCAGCACCCATCACAGTAACGGCTCCTCCTCCTCCCTCAGCACCCATCGCAGTAACGGCTCCTCCTCCTCCTCCCCTCAGCACCCATCACAGTAACGGCTCCTCCTCCTCCCTCAGCACCCATCGCAGTAACGCCTCCTCCTCCTCCTCCCCTCAGCACCCATCACAGTAACGGCTCCTCCTCCTCCCTCAGCACCCATCACAGTAACGGCTCCTCCTCCTCCCTCAGCACCCATCGCAGTAACGGCTCCTCCTCCTCCTCCCCTCAGCACCCATCGCAGTAACGGCTCCTCCTCCTCCCTCAGCACCCATCACAGTAACGGCTCCTCCTCCTCCCTCAGCACCCATCACAGTAACGGCTCCTCCTCCCCTCAGCACCCATCACAGTAACGGCTCCTCCTCCTCCCTCAGCACCCATCGCAGTAACGGCTCCTCCTCGTCCTCCCCTCAGCACCCATCACAGTAACGGCCCCTCGCCCCTCCAGCGCCCCGCCGCAGTAATGGCTCCTCCTCCTCCTCCTCCTCTTCGTCCTCCCCTCCGCCGCCCGGTGACGCAGAAGGCGGGCCCGCCGCACGCTCCTGCTGAATATTCGCTCACCGCAGCGGGTATTGGCGGCCGCGCCCGGAAGCGGGGAGCGAGCAGCTGACAGCAAAATGGCGGCGGCGGCGGCCGGGCGGCGTGGCGGGGCGCTGGGTCGGCCACCGGCGCCTGTGTCCGTGTCCTTGCCGGTGGGGGACCTGCCGCCCGCCGGCGAGCTGGTGCGGCCCTCGGTGACAGAGCTGTCCCAAGTGAGGACCAACATCCTGTGCACCGTGCCCGGCTGCGGCAAGGTCCTGCCCAACAGCCCGGCTCTCAACATGCACCTCAGCAAGGCCCACCCGGTCCAGGTACCGTCACCGCCCTGAGTCGGGCCCGCCAGGCGCTTCCGTCTTGCTGAGCCCCGAGGGGGTCTCACCTCCTCTCGGTCTGGGTCCGTGGGGCTCTTCAATGGTGCGGCGGCTTCTTCCGCTCTGGGCCGTATTCCGGGGACCGCTGCTGACCCCGCTGGGTTCCGGAACCACCGTGCCGCGGATGAAGGGATTCGCTTCTCCGGTCTGTACGGGAGTTCTGTGGGGTTGGTCTTGTGGAGCGTAGTGGAGTGGGTGGGGTGGTCCAGAGAGGATGAGGGAGTGTTTCTCGTCTGCTTCAGTGCCTCCACGTGAAAAGTATGCGCGTGTACGTGTGAAATACACGAGTGTGTGTGCGCAGTCTGGCCCATCGTAGTGCGAATACCGGCGAAACTACCTATAGGGAAAAAAAGCCAGTTTTGTACTGGCATTAAACATAACGAAGGCAGTGAAAAGTTCCTTCGGGATCAGTTGCTGGTATTTCACTTGCCTGTCGCTTCTCTTTCTGCAGTAAGTTACAGCCCCACTCGAGAGGTGCTGTGCAAACACACAGTTTCCTACCCTTGGCAGTTGGCAAGGCACCAACATCCAAACGCCGAGTGCTGTTATGCTGGGGGCAGGGGGAGTTGTGTTTTAAAACGTCTGTGAGCCAAAACCAAAAACCGCTAGCTGGATACCGTTTTGGAAACAAGCTCTCATTGCCATAGTACTCCTGAGAAAACAGCACACACTGGGGGGAGGAGGGCCGCAGTTCTGCAAGCATGTCAGTGCTGTGTGGGCCTTTCAGAAGCATATCCTGTACTGTTCTCAAAACCATAACACTGGCTGTGTGAAGACAAACCTGATTCCTGTAAAACTTGAAGCACAGCATTCATAGCTGCGTTCTGAAAATGCAGCCCCGGTGGGCAGACCGTAAAGATACTTGTTTTGTGAAATGACTAATTCCAGGATCTGATCTGTGTTACAGATGGTCACGGGTGACAAGCACAAGGAAGTACTCTCAAGTATACTTGATATCTCCTGTTTCTGTTTTATTTCATTTCCTAATACGCGCTAACAGCTTTAGTGCGTGTGCTGTATTATCTCTCAGGTGTGTGGGAGTGGAGGTACAGCAGGAGTTGAAAACGCTCATTCAGGTTCAGCAGACAGTCATCTTGGATCATGCTCTGAATGCATGCAGCAGCCAGCGACGAGCAGAGTTGTGGGTTACAGCTCATGGGTGAGGAAGCACGGCTTGCTCACTAGTCTCCTGCGTAGCTACTAACTGTCGGTGCTTTGTCGAATTGTAACATGTCATACACCTCATTACCAGACCTTGTGACAGCTGGGATGAATACTGGAACATGGATGGATGCAGGTTTTCAGGAACATCGTGCTTATTCCAAGGATGTTGTAATTGAGAGTAAGATGTTGAGACTTAAGGGAGGCTAGGTTTTCTGTGATGTGCATTATGCATGGCTTGAGAATGCACCTTGGACGAAAGGCTAAAGATATGAAGTTAAACAGATACAAACCTAGGTGTGTGTTACTCTGTTTCTGCAGAAGGAGATGAACTTGCACTAATATTTTAGTTTTAGTATTTCATTTAAGAGATAACTGTCTCCCAAGAGAAAAAAAAGTTTAGTAGTTTGCATTTGTTAGTGAAAAATGGGGAATTAGTGACGAAGCAGCTTTGCAAATGGGATGGTAAGAAGTCTTTGGGGAAGGGGAGAACTTAAGAGTGCTGAAGAGAAGGGAGGTTGACTTGGTTAATTTTCACTATAAAAGTAGCACCAGTAGGATCTTTTGATGCCAAAACCAGAGGTATTGTTGCAGAGGAAGGACATTTACATAGGAAAGCAAAACTACCTTGTAAAAACTGAGTCAAGTCAATACAAGGTTATAGTCTTGTGGAGTGATGCCAAAAATTTGATCAGTCCTGGTTTCAGTCCTGGTTTGTAACAGAAAACTGAGATGGCAAATGCTTGCAAAAGCTGTTTGGTCATACAGTGTGCAGTTAGGATAATGCTGCTGTGAGAGGGGCAAACCTAAAATATGTCAGGAGGGTATTCTTGGTCACTGGTTTAGGGTAGGAACCCCATTCAAATGAGCTAAAATGAACCCAGAAGAGGTGTAGAAAAGGGCTGCTGAGGATGATGAACAGCAATCGTGTCTGACAAAGAGAAACGAGAAGAATTTGGCTTGATTGGTCTAACAGAAGAAGACATGACAAAGTGCTAATAATAGCAATGTCTGTCTTCTAGCTGTCTCCTTAGCTTAACTAGGCCACAGGGCTTGTAGCAACAATGTGGAAAACAGCAAGTAACAATCCTTGCTGCTGTTGGTCAAGGTGAATGTGGTAACGTCTTGCCTTTCTGCAATAGAAAGGCTTACTCCAAAGAATTAATTTAAAACGGTAAGTTAGACTAGGCTGTAGCCAGTTATTAAACCAAATTCTTTTTCAGCAGCAGATCATGCATTTCTTTACGAAATAGCATGAAAAGAAGTGTATTTTTCTTATTATAAAAGCTATTGCGATAATGTGGTACTTGGATTTGGGTAAACCATGCCAAGGGTAAGCTCCCCTTTCCAGTTCAGCACTGACTACAGCCTCCCTGCTATCACAGGAATACACAGAATCGTCCCCTTCATATTTTCCATGTTGTTGCCATAAGCCCTGTCTGCACATTAGTATTCCTTACAAATACAGGGGTCTGGTTGTGAGAAGTTATTGAACAAATACCTACCAGTAATAGCGGTGAGTGGATATTGTAGAAATGTGGGAAGTGAAATCAGCTGCACAAGGACAGGACTTGTGAGAAGGTCTGACATTTGAGCAGCCAGATGGGGTTTTGAGAAGGTGTAAGATTAACCATTTAGAGCCAGAAGGGCTTTGAAGGTGGTCAAAACAGTATTATTGTCTGGATAGAGCTACTGATATGCGTAGAGTATCTCTCAGCTTGCATCAGCAAATTTATGGTGGTCTGTGCCTCAAAACTCTGTGTTCAGCTGTTGAAAGAACCTCTTGCTCATCTCATGTTTATGTTACTTTTAAACACTTGGTGTTATTCTATACCAGTGCATAAGTAGTTTTAAATACCCTGACTGTGGTTTACCTGTTAAGTGCCTGAACATACTGCCATGACGTTTGTTGGGTTGTGACATTGAAGATAACACACTTGGAATAACTTCTCATTTAAGAATAAATAACTCCAATTGCCACTTACTAAACATATTTACTTCATCTGCAGTGTGAGAGACCAAGCATAGTATTGACTTGAAAGCAGATCTTTTCTCCTGAAGGCTTTGAGACTGGCATCCAAGTGTTTCTGGGTAAACTTAGGGTTAAAAAGTGTAATTGGGGTAGTGGGGCTGGAACAACTGGATTCTTTTGAGTCATGTTCCTGGTTTGGGCAGTGGCTCTAGGAAGTGCAAAAGCAATCACAGTGATTATTCAGCAGAGATGAAGCAGGCCTGTTCACGAATGGTTTGTCCATGGCAAGAACTGCTGTACATGAAGGTGCTTAGAAGGTTAAAACTTTACATAAAAACTCCCTTTTGAAAGATTTATTCCAGGTTTTCTTGATGAAATGGCAGCAGATCACTTTGGTTGAGAGGCTTTGCTTCTTTGGGTATGGGATGTCATTAACAAAAATGAGCTTGCTGTGGTGTCAGCAAGTAGCAGTGTTGAGCTTGTGGAAATGTAACCAAAATGTTGCTTTAAGGAATTACCTTTTGCACAGATTATTTTAGATTGAGAGATGGTTTGAAGAAAACCAAAGTCATTGAAGTGCCCCACTCATCTGCTTCATAGTGTTCCTGAAGTGCAAATGAAAGCACTTCACAAGGAAGGCAGGAGTAGCTCAGCACACAGAATTGTTGGGTTGTGACTAGCAGCAGCTAGGGAAGAAACAGGGAAACCCTCTGTATTCTGGCAGCTGTGGCGCATACTTTCTTTGCTTCACATGGGATGACTATTGTGCTTTGTGGATTCTTTGTCTGGTGTAACCTGTGTAAACATGAAGCAGCTGGATATCTGCCTGAAGATGATACTTAGAGAGTGACTGGTGTAAAATCAACACTCTGCTGCTACTGTCACTGGAAAGTTGGGAGCAGAGCTGAGACAAGGCATGCTCCAGAAATTTTCTGAATAACCACCTTGGGGATGCCGTTGTGGATGACTGTAACTGGCTCTGGGGGTTTGGTTGGCGCTCTACTCCGTCCCAGGATGCAGAGACTCACAAATACTCTGAGCATCAGGTTTTCAATAGTTCACTTTTTTTTTCTTTTCTTTTTTTTTTTTTTTTTGCTTAGACATTAATGCATGATGTTTCCATTGAGACACTTTCAGGTAGGATATGATTACAGGGGTACGGCTTCTCTGGTTTCTGTGGCTGTGTCAGTAGTAGCAGGTTCTATGTGGTTGAACAATCCAGACAATCTCCCTAATTTTCAGTGTGCATTTTTGAGGTCCTCTTTCAGCAAGTTATGCTGCTTTCTTCTACCGTGTACGTGTGATGGTCAGTGAGGCAGATCACACAGCAAGCCTGGATATAGGAGCCACTAAACATTTGGAGGTTCAGAGTTAACAGTGACTTCAGCGAGATTTTGTTTGTGCTTGGAATTAAGTGGCAGAGTGTACTTGGCATTTTTCATTTTATTACCAGTAAACTCCAAATAGTGCCAACAGAATTCTAATGTCAGGGGAGAGTTGGGTCACACTGTGTGTGACTAATTTTAATGGAGCTTCAAGTAGACTGTGCTACTAACAAGTTAAAACCACATTGAATCGGCAGTGTAGTATCCATAGGGAAAGCTTTTTGGCTCAGATAACACAAAAGGCAGTTATAATTTGTGTGGGGCAGCAAGCATCTTGGTAGAAGTAAATAGTACAGTGCCACTACTCTGTAGAAGTTGCGATTTCACTTCACAATTTGATGGTACATTTGCAAAGTAGCATTAACCTTGGTGAAAACTCCATTTGAGCTTTCAAATTACTTAGGAAAGTGCCTTTAGCTCGTTGATGAGGGGTATAAATGCAGTGAGTAAAAGTTGATGTGTATTCTGAATGTTGTGACTTTCATACACAAATTTGTAAAATTGTCAACTTCTCTACTGCTTCTTTTTCAGGATGGAAAACTTAATGCGCCAATAAGGAAGAGTTTGAAAACACCTCAGAAATTCTACTGCTGTCCTATTGAAGGCTGCCCTAGAGGACCAAACAGACCATTTTCCCAATTTTCTCTGGTCAAACAGGTATTCCTGTTTCCTAAACTATTATTTTAATACTGATTTAGTCCTGACTGTGTCTCCTACAGAGTGTACACTTGTGCCTTCAGATGTGAGCAAAGCCTCTGAGCGTTATGTCCTCAAGTTGGAGAATTGTGTTTAGAAACTCAGTGTGGGCATATGGTTAAGGAATTTGCATGTTGATATTAGAAGGCTTGAACCTTTTGATGAGGCAGAATGCCAGTATGTTCTGCTAAACTAGAAGACAGTACCTCTTAGCCAGTTAAAAATACAGAGAAAGATAAACGGCAGGGAGAGGGAGAATCACAGCAGCAACTAATAATGGTTTAAAATTACCATTTTAAGTAGTTAAACTGCTCTTTTTAAGTGGTCAAGAGATAGGAGTTTTTCTCTGTTTTAGTGTCAAAATGCAATTGTTTACTAGTTACCTGCTTAAGAAAATATGTAAGACTTGTTTCTCAGTGAATGAGTGAAAAAAGCTCTTCTGTTGGTTACCCTGGATAACCTGGGCAGACTGTAGGAGGTGGAGTGGCTGGAACTTGGTGCTGTGAGTGAAAAGGAAATTCTGGTGTTTGCTCTGAAGTTGACCTGTTTGACTTGAGAGTATTTGCTCAGTTGTAAGATCTTCAGGAACGTGCAAGTGTTGCAACATATACTTAACTACGTTCTTTAATGAATGTATAGATGAACCTTGTTAATGTCCATAGGAAACCTCCAATAGCATTAGGACATATATCTTTTATCTGTGTTTTAAGATGTACATAGCACAAGCAGACTTGCATGCTTTAAATCCTTTCTGTTGATTTATTAAAGCTTGTAACTTATTCCTAATGAGACTTTTTAAAAACAAATTAATTCTACAATTTGATGCTATTTAACAATTAAAAAAATGCAAATACTGTCTCCCCTAAACATGATTTTCCTTTTTCTTAGCTTAGCTGGAAGCTAATGTTTGCTTCTCATTGTGTATTCTAGCACTTTATGAAAATGCATGCTGAAAAGAAGCACAAATGTGATAAATGTAGTAACTCCTATGGTACAGAGTGGTATTTGAAACGACATATAGAGGTCTGTGGCAAGACTTTCCAGTGTACTTGTGGGTGCCCTTATGCCAGCAGAACAGCATTACTGTCGCATATTTACAGAACTGGCCATGAAATTCCTGCAGAACACAGGTAAAAGTGAAGAAGTTAAGTAACGATACTCATGTTCATCACCAAGTTCTCTGGCTTTTTATCTCTTTCTGTTGATTACATTGTAACTAGGCTCACATTGTTTTAGCTGTACAGCAGTTTGCAGTTTCTTTGTTCTGTTGCTTTTGGTAGTTTCTGTTTTGTTGAAAGCAAGGACAATTGTCTAATCAATGAGATGAGGTGTCACCACGTATAGTCCAAAAAGTACTGATGACACTGCACTGCATGGTGTAAATGCTGGTAGTTGTTGTTCTGTCTGCTTTTACAATTCTGTAAAAGTAGATTATATGGAAATGTTTATGGCTGGTAAATGGTGTGGAATGCAGTTTAGCTTTTCTTGTATAGTCTAGTCTGTTTTGCAAGTTTTGGTGGGGGAGGTTTCTTTTCTTTTTAATGGCTGTATATGCGTGTGTAGACTTAAATTTGTCTTAATATGTACATATGTTTTATAAAGGGTGGAATGTTTCCTGAGGCCTAACCTGACTGATTTGGAGATACAACTGCTGCAAAATCAAGTTTTATGTGAAGGAATGCTAACTGTATCTTTGGTTTCCATGGGAGACCTTTGCCTATACACTCATTTTAGAAGCTCTGTTTCTTCAATGCTCAGTCTGAGTTAGCATCAAAGTTAGAAATTAAACTTGTCTTTAATTGTATTAGTTAATGTACAAGGGGGAAGAAACCATCTAAACTTCCACTTCCATTTAGAAGTAGGTCTCCACAGAAGGGGTAGTCTTTTTTCTTTTTGAAATGGGAGAGTGAGGAATGAAACCTTACACAACTGAAGTTCATGGAGTCTTTTTATGTTTAATCAGGGTTAGATGCTTTCTGTATACTCAACCGCATCGGCAACTTCAGTTTATGTTTTCAATGCAGTGACTCAAAAGAATGGCAAGCAGATGTTTTGTGCTTGAAAGGAGTATAAATTATTGATCTCGTGTTCACAGGGATCCTCCTAGTAAGAAAAGGAAAATGGAAACCTCTGTACATAATCAGCAGTTGGCAGAGAAAGCAAATGAAGCGTTCATCAACACACACAATAAGAATCCTGGCACTCAGGAATTGGAGTCCTCTGAAGTGAAACTAGCAGCCTCTCTTGAAGGCTCCTGCAGTTCTAACCTCATGAACCAAATGCAGCCAAAATGTACGCCGAAGATGCTCTTACCAAAGCCTAAGGTGGCTTTGGTTAAACTTCCAGTGATGCAGCTTGCTCACTTGCCTATATATGTGTCTGCAGCAGACTCTTCTGTCAAACCTGCTGTAGTGGCTGTTGATAATCAAGGTTCACTTGTAAGTACTGTTCATTTATTGCCTCAGTCAATAGGAATTCTGATTCCTGCACTGGAGGCAGAAACACTTGTGTTTAAAGACAGTATGCCTGTTTCAAAAGTGACAAATTCTGGTGATCGTGAATCCGTAAGTACCAGTTTACAAGTTGAGTTGGATAAGGTTACATTGAGTAACACAGGGCAGGAGATGGGGAATGTTTGTCACAAGAATAAAATTTCTTCAATTAATATACAGACTGACTTATCTTATACTTCACAGAACTTTGTACCAGCTGCAACCTGGACTCCCAATTCTTCTGTATCCTCTTGCTCTCAGACAGATCTGTCATTCAGTTCACAGGTTTCGCGGCCCATCAGTGTACAAACACAGACGCTGCTGCCTGCTTCCAAACTGACTTCATCCATAGCTGCCCAGACTGATGCTTTTAGTCAGGTTTGTTTTCCAACATGCGGCGTTTCTAGAGAGACTCAAACCAGTAGGACACAGGACTCTATTGATGGAAGGGTACAGATGGACCAGGCTGTGATGTGCAGTGACATTTTTGACAATGTTGATTCATCATATGTTTCTACTCACATTGAACTTCCAGAAAACAACTTAATGACTGCAAATATAGATCAAACCTTGCTGCAAAGAAGTAATTGCAAGAGCCTGAATCAAGATACGGTGAAGTCTGAATCCCTTATCAACTTCAGTACACAGCCTAATATACTTCCACCTCAAAATACAATGGATAATCAAACCCAGACAATGGACTTGCTAAGTGATCTGGAAAACATCTTTTCAGGAAACATGCCTGGCCAGACACTGGATAATCGTAGCCTTTTGTCTGAGACGAGTTCTAATGCTGACACGCATCTGCCATCTGGTCCATCACAGAGCACAGGAATAGACTTTGACATTGAAGAGTTCTTTTCAGCATCCAATATTCAAACTCAGACTGAAGAGAGTGATCTTGGTACTCTGAACCCTGAGCCAGTTTTGGAGTCACTGGACATAGAAACTCAGACTGATTTTTTATTTTCAGATAGTGCAACTCAATCATACAGCTGTCGAGGAAATTCTAACTTCTTAGGTTTGGAGATGTTTGATACACAGACACAGACAGACTTGAATTTCTTCTTGGACAGTAATACCCATCTGCCTTTAGGGAGTATTCTGAAGCAGTCTAGTTTCTCCATGAGTACTGACTCATCCGATACAGAAACACAGACAGAAGTATACCAGGCTATTAAAAATACGCCTACACAGAATATTGAAAGCAAAGTCCGACTCAGTAGCACTGAAACACAGACTATGGATAGCTGCTTTGAGAATCTAGGGAGTTTATTCCTTACCAGTAATGAGACACAGACGGCAATGGATGACTTTCTTCTGGCTGACTTGGCCTGGAACACGATGGAGTCTCAGTTCAGTTCAGTAGAAACACAGACCTGTGAAGAGCTGTGCTCCTTGTTTCAGAGCTCTGACAAGCCCAGCCATTGAGTGCTACTTAATATAACCATTTCCTGTGGTTTGAAATTAAGTTATTGGGGTGGGAGAAGTGGCTTGACCAAGTCATTCACTTTGGATTATTGAATGTAGTTATCGTGAGCAGTTGACCTAAGGCTTCTCGTGCTGAAGGTACTCTATCAAATATGTATAACTTGACATAAACTGTGTGTGTGAATGGAGGGCAAGGGGAAGCTGTAACATATTAATGTACATTTGAACCTTAGAAAAGAATTCATGGTGCCTGTGTTTTTTCCTGAAACTCCTTTACGGAGGTGATACTGCTTTCATTTAAACAGAACAACTTTTGAAGTTGCTCTGTATATGTATGTATCTCTCTCTACTCCTGGCTTACATATAAGGTTCCAATATGCTGGACCAAAACCCTGAGCTGTCTAGTTCAGATGCTTCCCTGAACTTATGGGGGAGGATTCTATTATTGTAAGCTACTTCTATTTACTCTTTTTAGTAGCTTGTATTTTAAATCTGGCATGAACATAATAAGCCGTATTGTCGTCTTTTACTTTATGCCTTCACAGCTTGTTCTCCTGCATAAGATGGTATTTTCCAAACACTAGACACATAGAGACTCCTGGATTGTTGAATATATTTATTACGAAACGTGTAGAAAGCAGTAATTTTTTTATATTTTTCCCTAAGTGGCACAGATGTCCTTTGAAGTATAGGAAAAGAACTTTGAATTCGCAACTGTAGGAGAAGTTAGTGTGTTGTCCTTTTAGGTAGTGTGATAACTAACATTTCTAGAGTCTTCAGGAGGGATTTGCTTAAATTATTTCTGTCTCTAAGATGCAAATGTTACAATGTGTGTGCCTCAAAGACTGGGATAATTTGGTTTTGTTTTAATTCTCCTAGCTTTATTAAGATACAAGTTGAGAAGTGTTACAGCGGTTTATGCCTCTATTACCTTAACAGAATCTTCACAAATGGGAAATTAAATTCTCTAAATTACTTATCTAGATTTCCGGTTTTGGACTTCCCACTTGTAAAACCAACTGGAATCCTTACAGCAGAGCTGGGAGATCACCTCACAGAAGCCCTTTCAGAACAGCTGTATCTTGCTTTTACACATCTATCTGCAGCCCTCAGTTCCTGCAGCTTATAGAGAATTTTTCTGAGTATAGTCAAATTCAAACAAACTGATATTTATTTTTTTTCTTTTTTGCCAGAGAAGAAAAATGTGACCTTTTGGATTTTTTTTTTTTAATATTCATCTTGCCCCTTATATCATTTTCAGTACTTTTAATGTGCATGAAAAAAAAAATGAAGCTGTGAATGTATGTTTGAATTCAGCCTTAACTAATTTTTGTATCTTACTATAATACATACAAAATGTAGGCCTCTAGTTTTGTCCTGGACAGGCTTTAGTTTCTGTTACCTTAAGTGAAAAGAGAAACCTCTTCATGTCAAGTTCCTGGGCCTCTGACAGACTTTCCTCCTCCCTTGTGAGAGGAGCGGTGTTGGCTATGTGTTTAGTGGGCAGCCCACCAGTAAACATATGCCCAAGCCTTAGTTTTTGAAGGCTCACTATGCTTTGTGCTTCCTATCCTCAGCTTAGGGGTGTGGGAGTTATGTTACTCATCTGCTGCAGCTAGCTTGTTTTGTTGGAAATGAGCAATACCTTTCTTTTTGTCTCTTCCTGACACCCTTTGAATTGCCATGGTTCACACTATGCTAATATGGTAAGTGTATACTTTTACTGGAAGTAATACCTTTATATTAACCCTGAAGCTCATGTTTTCCTTCTGAAAAAATGAAAACGCAGCTGTGTTGCCTCTTTTAATTTTTCAGCATTTCTGGTGCAACTTCGGAGTCTTCCAGTTTTTGGCTGAAGAAACTGCTAAAAGGAATCTTGCAGTTCCCCCCAGGAGTACAGTAATTCTGCCTTGAGGAAAGGCCCCCCTCCCAGGCTTCCCAGTGCCTAAAGTTCTCATCTTAAAGGTGATATATATATTAAAAACAGGCAGGGATTGCTTGTTGCTCTGTCTTCTGAAAATGTGACTGATTCATATTTATTTGCCTGGTTTGAAATTGGAGAGATAAGATAACAAAGTTAGGTTAGTTTATTCTGTTGCAGTATTTTTCTGGTAATGTGGTGTTTTCACGTTTTAAGTGGTTTTCCTTCTCCTTTTTTCCCCCTGACTGGAATACTAGAGAATGTTTCTTCATACATAGGCTTCTGTTCTCCATGTGCAAGTTGCACGGACACATGGAAGAGAAGCAGCTACTATAAATCTGGTTGGAGAAAACAGCATTTTCCACATCTGTAGAAGGCAGAAGGCCCATGACCTTTGAATTTAGAAAGCCAGTCTTTTTTCTATGAGAGAAAGGATCTCAGGTGATGAGGAGCAGAATGGTGAAAGGCTTTGAACTGAGCCACCTGAGAGACCAGCTAGAGTTTAAAGAGCTTTGAAACTATCAAATCAGAATGAGAATTGCCACGTTCTTATGGTGGAAGCCAAAGCTCTTAACTGGAGTGACTATCGGAAAAATAACTAAGGTTTGTGTGGATGCAGTCTTGCAATGTAATCGTTACTCATATGTTGTACTTCGTAATTAAATGTGTTGATAAGCTTTGTGTATTTTTTGGAACATGCAAATACCATTCCCTTCCCTCATCCTATGGATTTAAAATAGCTTGAACTTAATTAGGTGAACACTGTACCACAACATGAAATTATTTATTAAAACTTAAAACTATTAAATTATTTCATGTGTCTGTATGGTCTAAGGGACGTGGCTCATTCTGACCAAAATTAACTTCTTTCTTCACAAATTTGGTTCTCCATAAATTATTCATAAAAGTCAGAAACTGGTTTAGATCCTGTGTCACTGGCATATGTTGCTCAGTTTGCATTTATTAAGTATTTTGTGAAGGCTGCAACCAGACTTCACAGTTTGCTGAATCCCACAGTAAGTCTTATGAAACCTTATCTGCAATACTGTTGCTGAATATTTTTCACATTTGAACAAGTCCTTAAAGCAGCTAATTTCCTATTTTGGCCATTGTTTTAAAAGTAAACTTCAGTTAAAACTATTACTTGGTAGTCCTAAATGATATTTGTCTCCCTTTTTCTGCAGTTTGTCTCTGATTTGATTTTTCAAGGCACTGTGTTGCAAGTATTGGTCAGCAGTAACTTACTACTTCGCTTATTCTCTTTTGTATCCTCTATTGCCATTTGAACTGCTATGCAGGAAGTAGCATCAGATTCTCCATAGCCTTTTAGCACAAATTTTTGCCTGGAAGAGATACTAATGCTACTTTTACCTACTGTTTGGATTCCCTGCTTAATTCTGCTAGGCTGTGATTACTGGATCTTGATCTGGATGCCTGTGTAATGCTATTCTAAAATTGAATTGGTAGTTTTGTAGTTTCACGTGAGCTTTTCTTAAGCGTGTAGGAAAAATCAAACAAATGAAAACCAGCAAATTTGGGACATGCGTTCTATGAGAACATAAGTGCAAAACAGCTGAAAAATGAGAGGTGTGGTTTGTTGCCTTCCATGTTTATTTGTCACAGTGCTAAAGGTTTGTAAGACAGTAAATCTATGCTTCTTCTGCTTTTGGATTTATTTGCCTCTATTTCTTCTAATACACTTGTAAATACTTATTTCTGCTTTCAGTAAGGAAGGAATCCTCTCCCCACTCTTCATGTCAGCCTAGAGAAATCAGTAGTTTAAAGTCAGAGTTTGCTAATGCTACGTATTCTTAGCTGTGCAGAGCTGCTTGTGTCTAGAAAATTTTAACTTCCAAAGGATATGAAATCTTTATGTATATACTTGCAGCTGTAACTGAAGCAGCTGTAACTGAAACAGCTGTAATACAAGCCTTGTGAGACCTCATCCAGTTATGAATTCAATGTCTGTAACTCCGTTTACGTACCTAACACTCCTCACAAATTTTTATTCCAGGGCGTACACACAGTCATTTTTTTCTGTTGAAAACAAAAGGCTGAATTTCACTGATAAGTTATATGTACCTTGATTGTGCACAGGCAACCGAAGAGGCAACAGAAGAAAGAAAGGTGACTGCCTTCCTCTGTTGTAAATCTTTCGCCTTCTGGTACCTGCTCACATGCTTAGTCAGATCTGAATTGATTTTATTTTTTGGTGAGGCTGCGTAGAGGTGTAAGTGTTGGCAGGAATGGGATCTTAAGGCATTAGCGTGTTTTTTTAAATAACCTTTCAAATACAGGCTGAGTAGAACTAACACATACTGAATCAACATAGGGTGCTCAACTTGGAAAAGAATATGCTGCTGAAATGACAGCTCAGAGATGAACCAAATGTGCTTGCCTTTATTATTAAGGGTGTATGGCTTCCTGTGCTTTAATATATTTCTGATGTGTTAGGGTTTTTTTTATACATGATCTTAATGTACAGTTTACTGTTCCAAATACATTCACACCAAAATGTTGTTAATGTTCTGGGCCTTGCAAGGTTTTTCATTCACATCGGGTTTAAGGTGTTGTTATGAGCGTGTTCCTGGTAGAACAGGCCTACTGTAAACGGACTTCTATTAATCCCTTGACGTGAACACTGAGGAGAGGGCTGTTTAATCAAAGCAAGCTTTAATTCGTGGTGTGAACATGCATCTCCTCTTTCTTTTGTTGCTGTTTTTAACAGTTGATATGAACCTAAACGTGTGCTAGAAGGATTTGCTGCTTAGGTCATGACTGAATTTTCTTGTTTCAAATGCCATTGCTATGCAATTGACAGAATCGAGGAACAACATGGTTCAACTCTGTCTTGCAGTCAGGTTGAGGGTATGTTTGTATTTGTGCGTGTGACTCTTCCACTTCACCAAAAATGGAACTGGACAGCCTGAAACCGCAGAAACTCCTGAAGGAACTGCCGAGTTAAATAACCCAAGTCCTTTGCTTCTGATTCTTTTTCATATACTGGCTTTACAGCAACATCTGCAACATAACTAGCAATGGAGTATAATAGATGACTCGTGATGATGTAAACTGTACGTTTCACAACACCTAATGCATTACATTCATGCTTGAAGCACTTGCATGCAGAGCAAGATTGTCAGTACATCTGTCTACAAGTATTTGCAAGTGCATCTATGATAAAGCTAGATATGAAAGACAGCCATATTTTTTTTTTCCAGTTACAGAATTCAACACCTGATTATGATCTAATTTTAACTTGTAACTATTCGGAATGGATGAGTAGTAAATCCCATGGGTGAGTCTTTCCCAAAGAATGTGTGTGTTAATCTCAACAAGGCTGAGAACTGTCCTTAAAATGTTTCTCTTCTCTTCACTAGTGGGATTTTGATCTAGTGGACAAACTTAGTTTTCAAAGGATGTCCCCATTTAATTCTTC